TGGGGATAAAATTGCAACCAATAAAAAGCGTTGTTGTAAAGATACTGTTGCTAAGATAACTATAGAGAATTATTGTAAATCTCTGGGCAAGATATTATTTAAGATTGCAAGTCATAGTGAATTCATGAGACATACGGGTAAAACTTAACTAAATTTCATAACGAGTTGAAGGGAATTGATGCGTGGAAAGACAAAAATGGTAAATTAGCAACAGTTAATTCGAGGTTAAAAAGTTATGGTGAGTCAGGATTATCCACTTTGGAACAATAAAATGACACGTAAAATATCTATAGAAAGAAATTGGATACGTTATGAAAATTTATCAGATAGTTTCAGTGAGTCAATTAAATGCCAGACATGATACGCATTTGGGCGATCAGGTCTCTTTCGATTCAGGACTGACTAGGCAGAAGATTTTCCCGCGGTAAGATGCCGTTTCTTTCTGCGTTCTACTGATTGCCAACCAAGTCCTACTATTAAACCCATAGCTGGGGGGAAGAGATGGATTCATACATTAAGCAAGGATCGTTGAATACCGCTAACGAATATAACAAATCCAACTGGAATTTAAAAACAGCCCTCCAATTTTTTTTTTTTATTCTAAGCTGATATCCATTACACACACAAGGAACATTATGTTGCCAATTACGTTTATATTAATTTCTGATTACTAGAAATTTTCTTGATTTTCAATGCACAACATAAAGATAGAGTGACAAAAGGATATTCGTCAAAACGAAATGCTGGAGAAAATGGCGTATTCGTTTGTTGAATCATCGGATTACTATTCCAAGTGCAAATGTTTATACAATGATGTTCATTCATTCATAAACCCTGGGAAAAAAGCATTTGCCATCATGTCTCAGGACGAAGAGTTGCCGACAGTGGGCTATTACTAATTCTTCTTCGAGCATATTAGAACAATGTGCATAGTAAACAAACGTATAGAACGAATTTTGTACAGAACAAATAAACTTCTGACAAAAAGTACATTTTATACTACACGTCAACGATATACGCACATTTAACCCACAAAGGAATATATATATATATATATATATATATATATATATATATATATATATATATATATATAGGAAAATGTTATATTATGTTTAAAAGTAAATCATTTTCATCAAAAGTTACCAAACGTTGCCTGATGACGGGATAAAAAAATTAAGCCTCGAAATATAGACATTTCCGTGTCCAATGTAAAATACTTCAAATAAAAAAATATCATTAAAATATTTAAAAAAAAATCATTAATATATATATATATATATATATATATATATATATATATATATATGATGAAATACAGTCTTAAGATGTGCTATATTTATGGGATAAAGTGTTCAACATCAGAGATAGAGTGTATATATATAAAGTGAACATAGAAGTAAACACTTAGTCTGTTTCATGCTAGATGCACCGTCATATATATATATATATATATATATATATATATATATATATATATATATATATATATATCAGGTGGCCTGACGATTGCATCTATGCATCAAACAGACTGTCGCTCTAAGTGTTGATGTTCTATATATATATATATATATATATATATATATGTATATATATATATATATATATATATATATATATATATATATATATATATATATATATATATATACTGTGCCAAATATTAAATAGGATGTTTAAAAAAGAAATGGATAGAAAACAAATTATTACTAGGAAATAAGTTAAATGCACATAGTAAGGTGAAAAAAAAAGAAATGAAAGAATAAGAGAGAACATTAAGAAAAATTATTATATATATATATATATATATATATATATATATATATATATATATATATATATATATATTAATAAAGTCATTATGTATGTTCAGGTAAAGAAGTTACATACTAAAATACGCTACCTGTCGGATTTTCTTAGAAGACAAATAGTTGGTGCTCGATTAGTAGGAGCATCTGTGACTAAAATCTGAATTATTGAATGTGTCACGACCTGTACTGTCAACGGTTATGACAGCTTAAACAAAACAATGCAAAACATCACCGGCAAAGTGGGATAGTGGTCGGAAAACAAAGTTGACCGAAAGAGACTAAAGTGTCTTAAAACGAACTGTGGCGAAAAAAAATCATAAAACTATTGCAGAAAAATGACATCAGGACTAATTACTCACCTAATCAATACAGTTTCTACATATACAATACGTCGGAAGTTCCACAAAGCTGTTACCCAGGGAAGGGCTGCGTTTCCTAAAACATTGATCACAAAGTCGAACGACAGTTGTTTAAAAATAGTGTTATCATCGCAAAAAATGGACAATCGAGAAATGGAAAAATGTTACTTGCTCTGAGGAGTCATCTTTCAAGTTATTTCCAACAAACGTTCGTGTTTATAGAAATATATATAGATATATAGATATATTGATGCATGTTTCATAAAATAATATAGACAAGTTGTGTCTATTTATTTGAAGTAAGTTCCTTTCATATTGTCTGATAAGCTTAAAAACATTATCATTGAATGACGAAAGGAAATCGCCATATTGATACATGTTTAAATCCGATATAAGCTTTCGGCTTACATAAGCCATTATCAAAGATGACAATTACATTTCAATATATCAAATAATACACGGACAAAACAATAATTATAGTCTGTTTTTGTTGCATGAAAAATTTCAAAGCAACGACAAACTCGTGTATACAAACGCGGAAGCTAAAATCGCGTCGCAGCTCGTGACGTCACAAATGACCACGCGAGAGTGAAAAACGAGAAGTATTAAGTTGGGAAGCCGTTGGTATAAACCAATGGCTTCAGTTATCAATTATAGGCATTTAAGAATATGTGGAGATTTCGTAGTTTATTTTGTTCAGGTTAGGTTTCAACTGTTTTTATCTATCTATCTATCTATCTATCTATATATATATATATATATATATATATATATATATATATATATATATATATATATATAAGGCTCAAACACTAATATTCCATGGTTATCATTTTCAGCCTTTTATATTATATTCTTGCTCTTTCTTGGACATCGAACTCTACCGGAATTCTATCCTATTGAAATATATATATATATATATATATATATATATATATATATATATAGTTCAAACTTGCAATGGTATAAGGGGCCGAGTACCGTAGATGAATAGTTCGTACATACAGTGTGAACATGGAATTCAATAGTTTTTCATCTATCTATCTATCTATCTATCTATCTATCTATCTATCTATCTATCTATCTAATTCTGTTCATTATCTATCTCTCGATCAATCTCAGTCTGTCCGTATCTATCTATCTATCTATCTATCTATCTATCTATCTATCTATCTATCTATCTATCTAATTCTGTTCACTATCTATTTATCGATCTATTTTAGTCTGTCCCTATCTATCTATCTATCTATCTATCTATCTATCTATCTATCTATCGATCTAAATACCTACTCATACGTAGGAATATATATCCTTATGTACTACCAGTGACATCTCTGTAATATTATTTATTGCAAAGCAGAGTATTATCATCAACGTCGCTAGCTGCTGTTCTCAATACCGACGAATGTCATTATGTTATAATATTAAAATATTAGGAATAATAAAGGGTTGGTTAATTTAAAATCTACAAACTGACATATTTTGGGAGTAAAATAATGTTATTTTTACTCAGTAATCATTTTGATATCTATAACGGCTTCACCATCTTACAAATTTGAAGTCCTCTCTTCGTCATTCGGATGTAACGATACAATAAATAAGATATAATTATAAAAATAGTTAGCCAAAAAAAAAAAAAAGTAAAGTTAATTTAAATAACCAGCTACTGGCAATATATCTACTCTATTTTAGGCAGACATTTTTTTTCTAATTCGTTAATGTTCCATTCATTTATTTGCCAAGGGGGATGAGTGAACAATCGAAAGCCCTATGTGTGTCTTGAATGTTCGACTTGAGAGCGCTTTGCTCCCATCAAGAAACTTTTAGCTAGTACATTTTGCTTAATTATAGAGAATGCATTTTAGAGGACTCTATTTTGTTGTAACAAATGTTTGCTTTAGGACTTTTTTTTTTTTTAAACTAGAGAATGGAAAGATGTTTTCCTAATCAATATTTTAATATCATTTGCTTCGGAATGACTGGGAGCCATTTTGAAGACTCAGAAATTTATGTCGCATATCAGAGTACGCTAGCTCTAAGCCTTTTTTTCTCTGTTGTTTTCTTTTGTATTCTTGAGTAAAGAAATTTTCATAGACTTCTTTCTACTGGGTTTATCGAGATTTTATATAACCAACCCATTCACAAAATCACTCGACTTCAATATATTGTAATATGAATGCACAGAATATATGACTGAAATTTCCGGTTGAGGTAGACATACCAGGAACAAAAACAAAATGGAAGGTCAAAAACTTTGTCATATAATATCTAGTTTCTCCTCTCTATAACACTTGATACAGACGAGTTGACTCTATACATTTTACAGGCTGAATAAATGTATATGCAGGCCAGTCAACGCGATGGGAAACGTATGATGTATTTTAATATAGACGAAATGAAGGATTCAATGTAAAACAATGTCATTAGATTTGCATACCGTGTTGAATTTAGAAGCTTCTTAAGATAAATATTTCGATAATACACACATTACATTCTTTAAAATGACGGAGTTGTCAATAAGCTTTTGCATTTGCAATATCAACAACATTTGCACGTTATGAATATAAACATTCGCAGTTTTTTTTTTTAAGGATACATAAAGCAAGGACTCTATTTTCTGTTTCTATCTTTTTTTCTCCTTTCTTTCATTTTTTCTTTCATTCTTTTTGACACTTGATTTCCCTTCTGAATCCCATTTGGTTTCATTTTTCTTTCTTACTTTCGTGTTAGAAACCTTCTTTCTTTCATTCATTTTTCTTCTTTTCTCTTGCATTTTTATTTCTATTTTCAATCTTCTTTCTTTCTAATTTTAGTCTTGCAATCTTTCATTATGTCTTTAATTCTTTCTTTCTGTAATTCTTTCATTATTTGTTTCTTTTTTTTTCATTATTTCTTTCATTTTTCTTTGTTTAATTCTTTCTTTCTTTTTCCTTCCTTCTTTTTTTTTCTTTTTCTATGGATTTCAATTCTTTTTCTCTCATATTTTAGATTTGTAACATTTCTTTGTCATCGTCTTTCTTTCTTTCTTTTTGCTATAGATTTCCCTTCTTTTAATCTCATATTTTAGTTTTTAAATTTCTTTATTTCTTTGTCTTTCTTTTTCGTTCTATCTTTCCTTCTTGCTTGCTTTCTTCCTTCCTTCCTTTATTTCTTTGTCTTTCTTTTTCGTTCTATCTTTCCTTCTTGCTTGCTTTCTTCCTTCCTTCCTTTATTTCTTTGTCTTTCTTTTTCGTTCTATCTTTCCTTCTTGCTTGCTTTCTTCCTTCCTTTCTTTATTTCTTCTAACTCACTGGGTTTAGTTTATCTTCTCTTTCTCTAATTCTTTTAGTTTTTTAACATTTCTTTATTTATTTCTTCCTCATTACCCTTGATTTTCCTTCTTTTTCTCTTATTTTTTAGTCAGGCGACATTTCTTTCTTTCTTTCTTTCTTTCTTTCTTTCTTTCCACTGAGAAACTGATCTTACTTTCATATACTAATCACCTTTTTCACCGTAAGTTTCTCTTTTTTCTTTTTTTTTCTTTTTTTTTCTTTTTTTTTTCTTTTTTTTTTTCTTTTTCATATCTTCGTTTAAATTCTTTTAGTTTTCTCACCATACAGGGCTTAGTCTATTTTCTTCCTTCCATTCGTCTTTTTTTTTTCTTTTCGGATTATCCTTCTTTTTTTTTTCTTACTTTAAATCACAATTTTTCTTTCAATTTTACTTTCCGCCATTTTCATTCATTTTGATGTTCTTAACATTCACTCCGAGATTGCTTCTTTTCATCTCTTACACTTTTTTGTTTTCTTTCTTTTATTCTTTTTCTTTTTCAATCATTCATTAGAAAACAAAGATACATTGAGAGAAAATAAAGGAAGATTGTATTTTTATCATCTCCAAAATTGGGGTCCGGTTTAAAAATAAAAAATCTTGGCGTTGTAATTAATCTTAAACTTCGATCTATAGCGATGAGTAGAAATATGCGAATTCTTTCTGTTCCAAACTTTCGACAGAAATTACTTTATTCGTAGTTATGTTTTCTGCCATTTTTCTGTTTGATTGACTTTTCTTCTCGCTTCTTTTTTTCATCCTTTTTTCTGCTTTCAACTTTTCTATGATTATTTTTTTTCTTTTTATCTACCTCTTCTTTTTTTTAAATTCCTATTTTCTTTATATTTTCTTCTTCCTCTTTTCTCTCTGAACTTACTTTTTATTTTTATGACATTTACATCGTTTTCTTTCTTTATTTTCTTCTCGCATTTTTTCATCTTTTTTTTCTTTTAATTTTTTATTCTTAGTTATCTCCCTTGATACATCCATTCGTCTTTCATCCTGTTCGCCATTCTGGCTTTTATTTCCTATTGTCATTCATCAATTTTTAAAGAGTCTGTTCCATTTCCGGATCCATTTCAAAGCTCTGTTTGATTATTTCTTCATCCCTTTTTCATCTTCTTTTTTTCTCCATTTACATCTTCTTTTTTTCCTTTGTTTCTTGCTTACACACCTACTTACTTAGGTCCATTCGATTCCACTAACCTTCCAGAGAGCTTTCAAATTCTTTCCTAACAAACTTTGCCAATAACCATACAAGAAACAAAAAAAAGCATTAAATTGCCTGAACAAATTGATGACAGGAGGGCACGATGACAAAAGCGGGAATATGAAATAAAAAGGAAAAAAGACGAATAAACAAGAAAAGACCTTTTCTTTTTTTCTTTCTTGACTCTCTATCAGATGAAATACTTACGTATTGGCTCGCAGCAGGGCTAGAAGATCGGTTTCTTTAGCACATCACACCCCCTTTACTTAACTGGCAAATTAATCAGGTGCTATACATTTAGTTACCTTGAATACGGTACACATATGGTGGAAAGATATAATACGAGCAAGAATTCTCGAGAAAAAAGGAAAATGCGTTATTGAGAGATAAAGAAAGAAAAAGTCTCGAAAATGCGAGCCTCTTCAAAAGCGAATGAAGATATGAGAGAAGAGGAGAGACAGAAAGATGTAGAAATTGACAACTGTTCGAAAATTATAAACTTGAAGTATCAAGGGATATAGATATATGATCCGGACAACTCGACCATTAAAAAAAAGGGCTTTCGAAAAGATCTGAACGCGTAATTGAATCTTCTTTTTCTATCATTATTTAGTCATGTAACAATTCTTTAGTTCTTAGTCTTTGTTTATTTCTTTGTTTCTTTCTTTTTACTATGGATTTCTCTATTTTTTCTTTCATCAATTAGTCTTGTAACATTTCTTTCTTCTTTGTCTTTCTTTCTTTCTTTTTTACTTTTTTCTTTTTCCTATGGATTTCCCTTCTTTTTCTCTCGTCTTTTAATCTCATAACATTTCTTTATTTCTTTGTCTTTCTTTCTTTCTTTTTAATAGGGATTTCTCTTTTTCTTTCATCATTTAGACTTGTAACATTTCTTTAATTCATTGTCTTTCTTTCTTTCTTTCTTTCATTCATTCATTCTTACTTATTTTTCTTTTTGCTATGGATTTCCCTTCCTTTTCTCTCGGTTTTTAGTCTTGTAACATTTCTCTATTTCTTTATCTTTCTTTCTTTCTTTCTTTCTTTCTTTCTTTCTTTCTTTCTTTCTTTCTACTATGTATTTCCTTCTTTTTCTCTCCTCATCTAGTCTTGTAACATGTCTTTAATTCTTTGTCTTTCTTTTCTTTCTTTCTTTCTTTCTTTCTTTCTTTCTTTCTTTCTTTCTACATGGATTTCCTTCTTTTTTCTCTCACCATGTAGTCTTGTAACATTTCTTTAATTCTTTGTCTTTCTTTCTTTCTTTCTTTCTTTCTTTCTTTCTTTCTTTCTTTCTTCTGCCTCACTTGGCTTAATTTTTTCTCGTGTTGGATGTGGGTATAGATAATAAAATAAAAGATTGTGTCTTCTGTGTGCAGGTGTGTGTATGTGAGAGTATATGTATTTTCACCTTACTGTTGGAGATTCTCTGTGTGTAAGCGTATATATATATATATATATATATATATATATATATATATATATATATATATATATATCTCCAAATGTAAACGAACGAATAATAAAATTCCAGCGTTCAAAACATTAATTTAAAATCAGGGCTCAATACAAGAGTAGAGCAATAAATATTTATTATAGACTGTTACATTAGAACATGTAAGGTACTACTACAAAATTGTACATTTTGTTCCGACGTTGAATGAACAAAGTTTCATAGGTAGTTAAGAATAATGGTAATAATCGACTATCATTGTTAACTACCGGATGAGATCTTGTTTATTAAACATCGAAACAAAATGTACAATTTTATAGTAGTGGCTTACATGTCACAAACAGGGGTCGGTAATAGTCTGTTTCATTCTACAATTCAATCTATTGTTGGATTAAACTCTCAGTTGTGGATCATGGTATTATTGAAGTAATAATCTTACTATATCTTCATATATATATATATATATATATATATATATATATATATATATATATATATATATATATATATATTATATGGACAAAGCCCGACAATTATTTTAAGACATGTTTTTGTTTATACATTCTTTTTATAGATAAAAATGTCTTTAAAAAAATGTCGGATTTTGTCCATTTCGTAATGTGTGACGCCATTTATTTACATTTGGATACGCCATGGGCAGATATGAATGTACGTGAGAGAATCATAGAAGATTGTAGTTTAAATCGGCCTTGCTAACCGAACGCCTCTCTCTGGCCCAATCGGTTAAAGGCACGTCAGGTTATATGACGGTTCCGTATAGGATACAGGTTCGATTCCTCTCGGAGGACGAATATTTTCTATGAAAATTTCTCACACATTCAGTCCGGTAAATGTTGCTTAATACTGCTTATTATAAACAGAGCATTTACTTAAATATTTGTATCTATAAAAAGAATGTATAAACATAAAAAATTTTTATATATATATATAATATATAATATATATATATATATATATATATATATACACACCATGCCACACCCTATTTCTTGGTTTAGACGTGAAAATTATATAAATCCTAAATTACTAATCAGTTATATAAACCTATGCTTGATCCATCTTCTAATGCATTGCATTGAGCGGCTGGGTGAAGGAAGTCGTTGCACTTGGGATCAGTCCTGTGAGTTATTTATACTTGGATGCTTAACAGCACTGGAATTAGGATGATCTGCGTTATATTGCGTCTAGTAATATCGTATCGTAAGGGTCTGGGTTCGATTCTCAGAGTCGGCAGAGGATGCGCACTGCTGAAGTGCTCGAAAAGGACGATACGGCCGTCCAGTGCTTTTATACATGTGTTTGTTGAGTATTCTAGATCTAGAAATGGAGAGTGTGTATATATATATATATATATATATATATATATATACGGGAGTGAATCACAAATTAAAGGCAATTTTGAAATTATGAGGCTCTAACGCGGGAATCTACGCATGCTCATGGGATGACGGGTAGCTAACCGCGCTCAACATTCCATCGTTCATTCGAGTGGAAGAGAGCAACGTTGTCAGATGTATTCATATTCACACTTCACGCACCGATTGAACCATCGAGGAACAGCCTACAATTCCATCGGCGGATGTGGCAAACACATGAATAACAAGGATAACAAAAGGAAACCTATAATCGCCCATCAACCTTGAACACGGAAGAACACATCCGGAGGGTGACTGCCTTGATCAGAAAAGACCGACAAATCACGTTAGCACAAGGGGGCGGCGGCAATCATGGATCTACACAAACCTCAGGGCATTGTGAAACCTTACGGCATTGTGACACGTGTGCATTGGTTGCCTTAAAAATGTATATAGTTGGATTCGTGTGAGTTTGCGACCCTGGGTTTCACGCTATTTGCCACGATCACACCAATCCAACTAAATATGTTAACTCTATCTGCGCATATATAATATATAGATAATACATAGAAAAATTGCATATATATATATATATATATATATATATATATACACATTTTATAGATGCATATATATATATATATATATATATACATATATATATATATATATATATATATATATATATATATATATATATATATATATATATATATATATATATTATGAATAAAAATGACAATAGGAAAACTAGTAATTGCTGACGCGTTTCGTCCAATGTGGACTTTATCAAAGTAAAATACAAGGACACATGGCACGGTGGATAAAGGCGTTAGTTAGATCCAGTGACAGGACCCCAAAAATGTGAGTTCAATACCTGGTTAAGGCGGTGGAGAACTTGGAGAGAGAATTAAACAGGAGATAACTGATAACTGACATCCATTAGACATGGCACGTGGAACTAGAACAGTCTATCCCAGTGAGCGAAATAAATGGTTCAGTTCGACATTCCAACCACTTGATGAAGACCGGAGCGTACAACGACCGAAACGTTGTAATGAATATGGCGACAAAGATAAGGACAATAGTCCGAATAATGTAAATAGTGTACATAATAACTCATCTCAGAAATATAGACAGATACAAAAACATTACCAGCAATACACTTTTGGAAAAAAAATATTACCAGCAAAACATTTAAAAAAAAAATATATATTGCCAGCAATATATCAGCAATACATTTTTTTAAAAATATTACCAGCAATAAAGACATTGTCGGCATTAAATGACCCATAGAGGTGTTAATATGCTGTAAAACTAAACAAACTAGTTGTACTTTGGACTTTGGACTTTCGTTGATCAAGATAATTTCGCCACAGAGCATTTGCTAATCTTGTTCCAATGGACTAAGAGATTAGCTTAATAAGAGGAAGAGGGCAATGTCATTTGCATTAACTATGATACAGAGAGGATCAAATAATAATTTCAAAGATTTATATCTGCATAGTTAATGTATGTTGGTTTACAGTTAAGATCAAGCATAAGATTGTATATCCCAACCGAGAGTCGTCAAGTAGCCCAGTAACATACAAATATGATGACCTTCCTGTACCCCTACGACCGGAGAATGGCCTTCTGATGTCTGTCGAAGAGGTACTTTGTAAGGAAACTACTATGAAAGTGGAAACAACCGAAGTGGATGCATTTTCTGTTCTTAACAATGAAGACGGAACAAAGAAATTTTCTCCAGGATCGTTAAGCGATTTGGTTTGAGACTTGATAATTATCAGTGGATAAAATTGAATTTTTAGCATTTCAACTCAAAGAAATGTGTTCGCTTAAGGACAATGTTTATGTTATTCATGGCATCTTTCTTCTCTATGGAAGGATTACTTTATTTCTATAATAATTTTGATGAGTTATTTCACGGTTTGTGCCAAGCAAAGGTTCCATCTGAATAGCTCTTATGCATTGATTTATCCAAGAGAAGTGTCAAGGCATCATTACAGCAGGATGACAATAAGAAAACATCCATCCTAAAGGACATTCAGTGCACATGAAGGAGTGTTATGAGAACATGCAGGTACTCTTCGATACCATAAAGTACCCAGATTAGAACTGGAATATATGTGAAGACTTAAAGGTGATTGAAATGTTAATGAGAATGTAGTCAGGATTCGCAAGATATTGCAGCTCTTTATGCACTTGTGACAGTCGTTCAGTTGGCCCCAAGCGTGAAGCATATCAGCCGGGTATCTATAACGTCCATTAGTACAGACAGAAAACGTTCTCTCTCTTCACATAAAGCTTCGGTCCATAAAACGTTATATGAAGTTACTTGCACGGGAAAGGTCAGTGTAGCAAGGTAACTTGTTTAATAGGGACGTGTATTTTATAGTTCTGGTTTTGGTGGTAGCGAGTGGAACAGTAACATTTATAAGCTTGAATCATTTGATGAAATCATATTTTCCCAAGAAATTTGATTGTGAAAGCAGCTGTTGTTCAAAGCACTGCTGATTTTGACAGGTGATAATATTATTTTGTCTATGTTCACCTGAACGCTTAGTAGACGAATAAGTTCTTATTTTGAATTCAGATGACTTTGAAAGTTGGTGATATTTTAAGTCTGGTTAAGTTAAAAACAAACGAGAGAAAGTGACCCTCTTGTAATCAAGGAATGGTGAGAAAAACTATGGGGTGATGGGTCCTCATATATACATCATTTTGGCTAACGGAGGTAGAGAAAAAGCCGGAAGATACGACATAGGTTGGCTGATCAACACACACGCAATTCAAACCCGTCTGAAATTAACTCAATATTCGATTCTCTGATAAAAAGTTTGAGAATACACACTTTGCTTCCAAGTCGCTACTTCATCCAGAGGTGTTAAGCTATATGAAACTTTTGTAAATATTCTATCTTTGTATATTATTATTAAAACAATAATTTTCAACCAAGATCAGGATTTATCTTTCTTCCGACAAGAGCACGACTTTTTTCTTCTGCCCAGTCATCAAAAAAACAAAAGAAAAACCTCAAAAAACACGGATTAGAGAATCAAGAGGAAGGGCAACTCCACTTTTCTTGTCAGTATGAAACGTAACACTTATCAGAAGCTCTAGACTATCGACGACCTAACTGGCACTCCTAATCTAATTAAAACTCTATATAACCAACCTGACCCAATAACCATGTCAAAGTGATGATATCTACCAGAGATAGGGTCCAAATTGTATGACTGCACGTCCTTGGAGAAAGGGAGTTACATTTCGGGGAACTTAGCCTTCGCATATTCAAAGCTTCTGAGTATAATGTAACATCCTTTTCCCAAGTGAAACTGAAGGAAGGAGTATTAGTAGGGTCGCAGATAAAAGAACACTTCAAGGACAATAATTTCATCAAAACCATAGGTGAGATTGAACTTAAAGCCTGGGAATCAAGTTGATCTCTGAAAATATTCTGGATATCGAGACCTCAAAATTTTAGAAATAGAGTACAATATAT